CGGTGCCCAGCATCCATGCTGGGTGAGGGAATCCATTTGTTCCAGCTGTGGAAGCCTCATGGAGCTGCAGCGGCTATGTGGCGCAGTGCGGGCTCTGCAGGAGGGGGTTGGGAGCCACGAGACTCACCCATTTCTCCTTGGGAATCCTTGAATTCCTGTTGTTGAGCCTCGATCTTCACTGAGGGCCAGTCCTCAACTGTTTAAGTTTTCAATTATCAAAAAGCCGATATCTGTGGAAGGACATAATGGCCCTGCTTTAAGTGGTTCGCTGCTCCCACAGCTCACCACGCTGTCTCTGCTTCTGCCGCCATCTTGGATCCCTATTTTTTTTAATTGCTAGTCCTATACCACAAACATTGTCTTTAATATTACTCATTTTTTAAACATTGGCTAGCCACTTAAAAGAAAATTCTGCTTATGGCACAAAGTGCCTCAAATTCTTTCCAAGTTGTATATTTGGTTTCCAATAAAAAAAATTACAGTTAAAAAATAACACCCTTGTATGAGACTCAATGAGTTCACTTAGCATAATACTTTTTACCCTTTTCTATGTTATGTAGTATTTTTCAAAATCATTGCTCCTGAGTGGTGCATAGTGTTTAATCATGTGAATGTACCACAATTTCTCAGTCTTGTGGTTTGTTGGACATTTTGGGCTGTTTCCAGTCTCAAAAGGATAAATACTGCATAAGTCATTTATTGTACAAATAGATAGCTATTAGATGTGTATTAATGTCGAAAGAGTTCAGGGGAGAGCACAGGGGGCACTTGAGTGGGGAAGAGAGAAATCACTGTTGCGGGGGAGGGAAAAAAGTTTTTAAAGAAATTTTTAAATCTCACCATGTACATGAATGAAACACAATTTAAATGGATTCTTGTTTGCAAACCATTAAACTTAGGAGCAATGACTTTGTAAATTACTACCTAATTACTACCTAATTGGGAGCTTTATGCTGAGTGAACTAACTCAGTCCCACAAGGATAAATATTATACAAAACCATTATTGTAGAATAAGCATAATATTCCAAAAGGGGTGGGAGAGGGTGGAAGCCAAGGGTTCAACACTTGAGGAATAACCTGGACATCCACTTTGTCTACACTGTATCATGGAGAGCATCTGTAGATACTCCTACAAGTCTCAGAGCTAAATAAGGAATTTTTTATTTTTGGAAGGAGGAACTGCACATTGTGACCTACAACTTCATAGCTGCCTGGAATAGTCTGAGTTCTGCTCAGTGCCCAGGATTTACCAAGGCCTATGCTGCTGGTTGTAAGAAATGCACAGCTTTCTCTGTTCATTCATCCCACGCAAGCTGTAGAGTCACACTCATTGTGGACAGACTAGCTTTTAGGCTGAGAAAAGGGCTTTTAGAGCTGCCACCTTGCCTGTCTACCATGTGAGCCAGAGTTGTGCACCTGGCAGTCCATGAGGTCCCAGATAGCATGAAACCTGTCCCCTAGAGGAAGTCTAAGCCTGTCTAATGCTCATTGCCTTTCCCACTTCTGTCTTTCTCCCAAACAATGAAATAGAGAGTCATTACCAAGGGGGGGGAGCTGTAAACTTGGTAAAGTTCAAATAAAAGTTTCACTTCTATATAAAAGGTTGCACTGAGGAAAATAAAGAGTGCTGCAGTCTGAATTTGTAGAGGAAAACCAATTGTTGATGTCTTACAGAATATAGTAGACACATAGAATACCAATCTGAATCTAGTCATAATCCACAGGACTTTGACATTTTGGAGGTGGTGGCAGAGCACAACACACTTTTGAAGTCATCTGTCAAGAAAGGACACAAAACATTTTTAAAAAATTTTATTATTTATTATATGTGTACTGTCAAATCAGATCTGACTGGTACAGGAGGACATTGTCCCTCCTTTTTCCAGCAGAGCATCTGGTGGATTCAAACTGCGTACCTCTGAGATTGCAGTGCAGCTTCTTGCTTCTAGGCCACCAGAGCTCCCCAAAACATTTTTTTAAATGTCATGTCACCCCAGTTAGCAAGTGTCAGTGCTGTTGTTCTTGTTAGATGCCATCTAGTCAACTATAACTCATAGTGACCCTGTGAACAACAGGTCTAAACCCTGCCTTGTCCTACTCCATCCTCATCACTCTCATGGACTTGAGCCCATTTTATTACAGTCTTTGTGTCAGTCTGTCCCATTGAAGGTCACCCTCTCTTTCTCTT